CCGGTCCCTCGGGCCGTTCCCGGTCCCTCCGGCCGTTCCCGGTCCCTCGGGCCGTTCCCGGTCCCCCCGGCCCCTCGGGCCCGTCTCTGTCCGCGGCCGGGCGCGCGGCGGGCCGCGCGGGGGCGCGCGCGCAGGCGGGGGCGCGCGGCGGGCGCGGGGGCGGCCCCGCACACGGCGGCGGAGGCGGCGGCGATGTCGCAGCCGGGCAGGAGGAGCGGGACCCGCGGCAAGGTGAGGGCTCCCCGCGGGGCGAGGGCCGCGGCACCCCGCGGACAGAGACGGGGCCGGGCCGGGGGTCGCTCCGGCCGCCGGAGATGGAGCGGGGCGGGCGGTCTCGCACAGCCGGGGGCGCCGCGGGCTCCTGCCCGCCCCGGGGTGAGCGCCCGGCAGTACCGTTACCGGCGGTGCTGTTACCGGCGGTGCCGTTACCGGCGGTGCCGTTACCGGCGGTGCCGTTACCGGCGGTACCGTTACCGGCGGTGCTGTTACCGGCGGTTCCGTTACCGGCGGTTCCGTTACCGGCGGTTCCGTTACCGGCGGTACCGTTACCGGCGGTGCTGTTACCGGCGGTTCCGTTACTGGCGGTGCCGTTACCGGCGGTGCCGTTACCGGCGGTACCGTTACCGGCGGTGCCGGTGGTTCCATTACCGGCGGTACCGTTACCGGCGGTACCGTTACCGGCGGGGCCGGTGGCCGCGGGGCCGAGCCCCTGCCCTGCCCGCTCCGCTCCTTTGTTGCGCGGCCCGGCCGGAGCCCGGCGGTCCCGGCGCTTTGTCCCGGGGCCGCCCCGGGGGGACAAAGGCGGGCGGGCTCCGCCGCGGAGCTGCCCCGCCGTGCCCCCGGTTCCCGGTGCCGCCGGGGCCGGAGATGAGCTCCGGGCACGCTTTTGTGGCGGGATGGGCTTGGCAGAGGGAGAGCATCTCGCAGCCGGGTTCTGCTCCCCGCCCAGCCCGGGGTCCCCGCCCGCGCTCCGCGCTGCCCCGCGGCTCCCCCGGCCCCAGGCGCTGCGTGGGAGGGGATTCCCTCCTCCCGGCGCTTCCCGGCGGGAGCCGGGACAAACCCCTCCAATGCGGTGCCTTGCGTTTTGTTTTTCCTCCTCTTGCTGGCCCGTGGCAGAACTGCCTTGGGAACAGCCCGGTGGGCGCGGGAGCCGGGGACCGGCCGCGTTACGGGGCTGCGGGAGCGGATCCCGGGAGTGGGGCGCCGCCGCCGGGTGGGCACGGGGTGAGGATGAGGACGGAGTGAGGATGGGCATGGGGTGAAGATGGGCCCCTCAAGGGGAGGGGCTGTCAGGCTCTCCCATGGGGAAGCAACACTGGGGCTTCCTTTGATTGATGTCATGGGACAAGGGGAAACAATAAAGGCAATAAATCACTGACAGTTAAAAAAAAAAAAAGGAATGCAATTCTTTAGTTTTCCTTTCCTATAGCAGCGATGCTCTTTTAAACAAGCCCCAAAATGTTTCTAGGCAGTTTTGCCTTCGGACCCGGCTCTTTGTGGTGCAGCATCTCCAGGCTGTGCTGCCACGTGCTCAGGCGTCCCTCAGCTGGTTTTGTGCCCAGGCCGTGCTCTTTGTGTTGCCCATTTCAGCACTGCAAATAATTTTTCAAGCAACACCAGAGTGCAGGGAAGGAATCCTCTGAAATTAGGCTGCAGCTCCACATAGACATCAGCGCTGCTGCTTCCTAAATTTTCTAGTTAACGATTCTGGGTGAAGATTCTGCAAATCTGAAAACTGTGCCAGTGTCTGGCTTTGAAGTGAGGCAAGTCCTCGAGGCTTTATCTGCCTCTGCCGAGACTGTGAGAAGGAATGAATGGCAGTAAATTACCGGGTTAATGAGATGCTGAGAAGCCTGGTGGCCGGGGCTGAGGCAGGAGCACGGCTCAGCCCTTGGAGCTGGGGGTGCCCAGGGCTGCCAGGCTCGGTGATGCACCCCTGGCTCCTGCCACCCTACAGAGAGCTGGGCTCCTCCAAATGACAGTTTCATATGGCTCCCCTTGCAAATGTAATTGTAGAAAGTCTGGATAGACATTGAACTTGAGTGATTGGAGGGAAAATACTAAACCTAGATTTACTTAAAGCTTGGAATGAGTAAAGTGGAATCCAAACAAAAAAAAAAAAAAAGTTTAAAAACTGTGAATTTTTTTCCCATTAGAGTGACCACATTCTAATCAAAGGAGGAAAAATTGTCAACGATGATCAGTCATTTTATGCAGACGTTTATGTGGAGGATGGCTTAATAAAGTAAGTTAAAAATTTGTATTTGCTTATGTAATTTCTTAGAATGATACAGTGCCTTGGGATTTGAACAAGGTTCCTTCCCATCATATTTTCTTGAGAATCTTTTAGATAAATAAAGGCAGCATTTTAGCATCAGGAAAGAGCTACGCTGGAGTAGTTCTGCAGCTGGAAAGACTTGCAAAGCACTGGCAGCCTGGGGAGGACCAACAGAGGCTGTTTTGGCATCCTCACTTGAGAGCTGTTGCCAGCTAAGAGGAGATCTTGATTTCCTTTCCAGACAAATCGGAGAGCACCTGGTCATTCCCCGTGGCACCAGGATCATCGATGCCCACGGGCAGCTGGTGATGCCGGGGGGCATCGACGTCCACACGCGGCTGCAGGCGCCCGTCATGGGCATGAGCTCGGCCGACGGCTTCTTCCAGGGCACCAAGGCAGCGCTGGCAGGAGGCACCACCATGATCAGTAAGGGGGGCACGTCCCCACAGGCTGCCCTTTTCTAGCACAATGCACCAGGCCTGGAGTCACTGCAGGGATGTTTGCTTACCTTCCTAGCACAGAAATGTCCATTTCTGCTGGACAGATCCACAAAGTTAACTGAAGGTGTTGTGCAGAACCTCCTTCCCTTGCTGCACGTGGATATTAAAAATACACTTGTAAATTAAAAATATCTGTCTGCTCCTGCCTCACCTCATCAGAGAGCAAGACAGAAGACCACTTTAAACACCTTTTAATAAGTTTTTAACAACTCTGCAAGTGTGGGGCATATTTGAGTTTCTCACCTTTAAGCACAGGCTCCATTTTTGTGTTAATGTAAAATAATTTTGCTGCCTGTTCTGTTCCTGCTCCATTCCCAAGGACCACTGCAGTTGGTGACTGCAGGACCAGTCCGAGCAGCGCTGGCACAGCTCCCGGCGAGCCCGCAGCCAGGGCTGAGGGAACGGGAGCAGAGCTGAGGGACGTGGCGGGCACTGGGGGCTGCCCACGGGAACTGCCCCGGGGCAGAGCCCTGCCCAGCACCCAGGGTGCTGCGCTGGCCGAGAACAATGGCAAAGCCGTGACTGGGGCTCCCTTCCCGCGCTCGTGTCACCCAGTCCGGGACACCCGGCGCCCCTCGGCCCTCAGCGGCACTGGAAGCGAGCCGGCACTGCCGTGTCCATGCCCGGGCGGTGCCCGGCGTGTGCCCGTCCCTGACACGCGTGTCCCCGCAGTTGACCACGTGTGCCCGGACGCGGGGAGCAGCCTCCTGGCCGCCTACGAGCAGTGGCGCGGCCACGCCGACGGCCAGGCCTGCTGCGACTACGGCCTGAGCGTGGACATCCCGCGCTGGCACGAGAGCCTCCGGGAGGAGCTGGAGGCCCTGGTCAAGGACAAGGGTAAGGGCAGAGGGACCCTCGGGGTCGCTGCAGGATCCTGGGGCAGCGGGGGCCCTGCTCCCCCTGGCACCCAGCTCTGCAGGGCGGGCACAGCTCCCGCCCGGAGCTGGGACATCCCCGTCCTTGGCCGTCCGGGAGAGAGCTGTGGACGGGAACACGGGCACCAGGTTCCTGCTGTAACATCTGGGTCTGTGCCCTCACCTTTGGGCAATTGGCAGCCTGGTCATGGAGGGGGATTTTGAAAGCCAAAGGAGTAGGGTTGGCCACCCTGACGCGGGCTGCGAGATGTGCAGAAAAAGCATTTAATGAAAAACCTCGGAGACAGGGCTTAGAGAAGGAAAGTCAGCTTTAAGCGCTCCGCAGTGGTTCCCTTGTGCCTGGAACTCCCGTGCATCCCGAGGTATCCGTAGGACATGGCTGCCTGGAAAGCAGGAAAGCAGACCGGGACAGGGATTCATGCATTCATTAATACCTATTGCCATGTTTGGAACTACACTTTCCTTCAGATATGCTAATGCAGAGCTAAATGTCTTCAGTGTAATTTGTAGTCTTGCAAGCAAGGGTTTAATTGGCCAATTACCATAGAAATTCACAGTGAATTTCCTATTAAAATGCAGAGTGGCTGAAGTAATGGAGCTGTTCCTTGGAACACAGATGAAATACAGCTGTAATTTGATCATGGTTTGGTATTGCTTATTGCCTCTATCCATTCAAAATACAGCAGCAATTCATAGAATCATGGAATGGTTTGGATTGGAACAGAACTGATCCCATTCCCTGCCATGGCAGGGACACCTCCCACTGTCCCAGCTGCTCCAGCCCCAGTGTCCAGCCTGGCCTTTGGCACTGCCGGGGATCCAGGGGCAGCCACAGCTGCTCTGGGCACCTGTGCCAGGGCTGCCCACCCTGCCAGGGAACAATTCCCAATTCCCAATATCCCATCCAGCCCTGCCCTCTGGCAGTGGGAGCCATTCCCTGTGTCCTGTCCCTCCATGCCTTGTCCCAAATTTGAGAATAAGCCATAGACTGAAGCCACCACTGGAGGAAAACCAGCCTGGGAGTGAGGCAGCTGAGTGAGCATTCAGACCCCGTCACAGAGGGTACCTAGCCCCAAACATGCACCATAGGGGTTTCATTTTTTGGTTCAGGTGCACCATAAAGTAGGGGTTTATTGTCTTCCACAACTCCCAAGTTTTGGGGTCAGTGGGGACATTTCCCACGTCAGGCCCTGGCTTTTCTTTGCTTCCAGTGTAACCCTCGCCAGCACAGCGCCCTGTCACACCAGGGCAGTGACAAAGGGACAAAGCCACAGATGTCCTTTTCTATTTTCAAGGTGTGAACTCGTTCCTGGTGTTCATGGCTTACAAGGACAAGCTGCAGTGCACGGATGGCCAGGTAGGACACGGGAAGGCGGGGAAGGCACAGCCCCGCTCGGAGCCACGGGGGCGGTGGCGGGGCTGAGCCGGGCCCGCTGTGTCCGGCAGATGTACGAGATCTTCTGCACCATCCGGGACCTGGGCGCCATCGCCCAAGTGCACGCGGAGAACGGAGACATCATCGAGGAGGTGAGGAGGTACCGCGTCGTGGCTGCTGGCACCCGGGGTCACCAGGCCATGGGGAGGGAGGAGAACTCCTGCCCTTGGCCCTGCCCTGCCCTGCCCTGCTTCTGCTCCTGTCCCTGCCCTGCCCTGCCCCTGCCCAGGGAGCTGCAGCCCCACAGCCCTGGAGGGAACAGGACCCTGTGTAGCAGCGTGTGCAGGCAGAGCAATGTGCAGGAGGATCAGGAATCATCTGTGTCCGCATGGATCTTCACGTGCTTGGGTTCCCAAAAAGCACTTTGGGGGTTCCTAAGGGATGACTGACTGCCTTAAGGGATGTTTTATCCCATTAGCTGTTGTGTTTAGGAGTTTGGATTACTTGAAAAAATCAGGAGGTTTGAGGATTTTACAGCAATACCCATGACATTGGCAGTATTTAACTCCACCATCAGCACCTGGGAATTCCTTGGTGTCGCAGCCTCTGCTCATGGGCCTTGTTTTTCCTTTTTACCTGTAGAAAAGACAGTCTTGGCTCCAGCCTCAGCCAGACACACCAGGTGGAGTCAGACTGGCAGTTCCTTAGGCTCACGGTCACGCCAGCATTCAGTCTGGTGTAGGAGGAAGGCTGAACTGAAAGCCAGATCCAATCCTTCACATGGCTTTATGTGAACAAACAGGATAAAGGCTAATTCCCACCTCCTGGGATTTTATCTGGAAACCTGCTCCTCAGCTGGCTGTGGAGTCAGGCAGCTCATAGCTGCAGCAGTGCTTCTGTAAGCTGCCAGCATGGTGACACTTGAGCCCTGGGGACACATTGGAGGAGATCTGGACAAGAACACAGACCAATAGGCATGTCTAAGAGCAGGGTCCTTTAAAGGATCCGGCGGGATCTGCTCCATGGGGTTGGATTGCATCCTTGCCTTAGTGCCAGCTGGCTGGGAGGTTACATGATCCGGAGCAGCAGAGGGACAGGGTGAGGCGTGTGCTGGACATCTGCCACGTGAGTGACCTGGAACATCCCAGAGCTCATCTCAGCCTCTGTCCCTGCGTGCTCCCTTTCCTCCGTGCCACACGGTGAGGTGCAGAGGGACAGGGGTGTCTGGGAGAGGTGGCACTTGCTGCATGCCCGTGACAGTCTCACATCCCTGTGCCCATCCCTGCCTCCTCCAGGGGATCCTGAGCAGCTCCAGCAGGCTCAGTGGTGGGATCCCTCTCCCTTTGCTGCAGCCATGCACCGGGGCTGGGGCAGCCTGGGTTTGAGTCCCTTCCTCCAGAACCCTGGGTTTGAGGGGTGGGAAGGTCCAGAGGTGCTGCTGGGGCAGAGCAGCTCCCATGCAGGAGAATTTCTGCAGCACAGGACAACTCTGGGAGGTGGCCCTGTGGTGAGTGGGATGTCCCAGGGGAGTGGCCCATGCCCCACCTGCTCAGGTTCCTCACTCACCACCTGCCCTCGGGTGGCTCTGGACAAGGTGTGCTGTGTCCCATGGTCTGACTGACTGCTCTCTCCTTCCTTCCTGCCCCCCAGGAGCAGAAGAGGCTGCTGGAGCTGGGGATTACGGGCCCGGAGGGGCACGTCCTCAGCCGCCCCGAGGAGGTAACGCCATCAGCCCTTGTGCCAAGCTGTGGCCCCGCCGTGCAGAGGGGCTGGGACACCTGTGTCCTGGGACACCTGTGCCATGGGACACCTGTGCTGTGGGACACCTGTGTCCTGGGACACCTGTGCCATGGGACATCTGTGCCATGGGACATCTGTGCTGTGGGACACCTGTGTCCTGGGACACCTGTGCCATGTCCTTGTGCCCGCAGGTGGAGGCCGAGGCCGTGTTCCGTGCCATCACCATCGCCAAGCAGGCCAACTGCCCCCTCTACGTCACCAAGGTCATGAGCAGGAGTGCTGCAGACGTCGTGGCTCAGGCCAAGAGGAAAGGTAACACTGGTCTGCACAGGCGGCCACTGAACCTCTACATGCAGCCAGGAATCTCATTCTAACCATGAGGTCTGAGAAGTCCTTGTCTCCTGAGCTTCCCACACTCTCGGGGTGCTGAGGCTCGTGCTGGTTTCCATGGTAGGGTGTGCCAGAGCTAATTGCTTGGAGCTGGGAAGATTGGATGTGTTGGAAACTGTGACACTTCCATCTAGGCAGACACAGCTGAGAAACAGGGAATAATCCACTTGTGATCGTTTGGTGTGAACTGAATGAAAAACAGATGTGGAGCAAGCTGCAAAGTGTGAAGGGCTGGGATGGATCCTGTGGGGAGCAGGGTGGAAGGGGGAGCACAGGCACCGCTTCCCCGGCCCAGAACCTGCCGGGCAGACGCGAGTTTGGTTTAAAGGAAGGCGTGGCAGCCGGAATGTGTGCCCGGTGAAAGGAGAGGACAGGCAGGTCCAGAACGCGCTTTGACGGGGTCTCCCAGTCACCGGAGATAGTCTAAGGGATTAGCGAGACTCAAAGCACGGGAGTGCTGCAGGAGGGAAGTGCTGAGCGTGGCACAGAAGTGCCCGTGCTGAGCGTGGCACAGCAGTGCCCGTGCTGAGCGAGGTTTGGACAGTGCCCGTGCTGAGCATGGTGCAGCAGTGCCCGTGCTGAGTGTGGCACAGCAGTGCCCGTGCTGAGCATGGTACAGCAGTGCCCGTGCTGAGCGTGGCACAGCAATGCCCGTGCTGAGCGAGGTTTGGACAGTGCCCGTGCTGAGCGTGGTGCAGCAGTGCCTGTGCTGAGCGTGGCACAGCAGTGCCCGTGCTGAGCGAGGTTTGGGCAGTGCCTGTGCTGAACGTGGTTCGGCAGTGCCCGTGCTGAACGTGGTTCGGGCAGTGCCCGTGCTGAGCAAGGTTTGGACAGTGCCCGTGCTGAGCGTGGTTCGGGCAGTGCCCTTGCTGAGCGTGGCACAGCAGTGCCCGTGCTAAGCGAGGTTTGGGCAGTGCCCATGCTGAGCATGGCACTGCAGTGCCCGTGCTGAGCGTGGCACAGCAGTGCCCGTGCTGAGCGAGGTTTGGGCAGTGCCCGTGCTGAGCGTGGCACACCAGTGCCCGTGCTGAGCGTGGCACAGCAGTGCCCATGCTGAGTGAGGTTTGGGCAGTGCCCGTGCTGAGCGTGGCACACCAGTGCCCATGCTGAGTGAGGTTTGGGTAGTGCCCGTGCTGAGCGTGGTGCAGCAGTGCCCGTGCTGAGCGTGGCACAGCAGTGCCCGTGCTGAGCGTGGCACAGCAGTGCCCATGCTGAGCGTCGTTCGGGCAGTGCCCGTGCTGAGTGTGGCACACCAGTGCCCATGCTGAGTGAGGTTTGGGTAGTGCCCGTGCTGAGCATGGCACAGCAGTGCCCGTGCCGCACTCCTCACCCCGCACTGCTCCGCAGGCACCGTGGTGTACGGGGAGCCCATCACGGCCAGCCTGGGCACCGATGGCTCCCACTACTGGAGCAAGAACTGGGCCAAAGCCGCCGCCTTCGTCACGTCCCCCCCCGTCAGCCCCGACCCCGCCACGCCGGACCACCTCAGCACTCTGCTGTCCAGGTGGGTCCGTGTCACCCCGGCTCCCCTGCCCGCGCTGCTCCGGTGCCATTCTGTCGCCCGTGGGGCCCCGAGCCCACGAGCCACCGCTGCCCCCGCGGTCTGCCCGGCAAGGGGGCTGTGCCAGCCTGGGGGTGCCATCAGTGCCCCCTCGCTGAGCCCTGCCCTGTCCTCTCCCCAGCGGGGACCTGCAGGTCACCGGCAGCGCCCACTGCACCTTCACCACCGCGCAGAAGGCCGTGGGCAAGGACAACTTCACCCTCATCCCCGAGGGCACCAACGGCATCGAGGAGAGGATGCCCATAGTCTGGGAGAAGTGTGTGGTAGGTGCTGCAGTGCAGCTGCACGGAGCACACGTGAGCCGGGCCCGGGCTCGAGGCTGTCACAACCTCGCTGGTTCAGACAAGCCAGAGCGGTGACACTGTCTAGACACTGCTGCAGCTTCAGAAAGGCACCAGCCAGACACTGAGACACACAGATGCCTTCACGGCGTCTTCAAAGGCTGCTCTGTGGGACCCCCTCTGCTCTCGCTCAGTCTCCAGGGAGTCTCTGCAGAACTTTCTCCCGCGGGTGATGAGGCGTTCCTGTCCCCTCGAGCCACCAGAGGCCTGGGCAGGTGATGGGGAGAGGGGGTCTCTCGCCTGGGACATGGCCATGCTTCCAACTGCCAGGTCACCCCAGGCCCCACCAGTGGGGACAAGTCTCCATGTCACCTCTGTCTGCCTGGCTGCAGGGCTGTGTCTGTGTCCCCACTCCCAGTCCCAGTGTGTCCCTGCACACTTCACTTCCCTGCCAGCAGCATCCCTGGGGGGCCCTATCCTGCATCCCACAGGGCAGATTTCCCTGTGCAAACTGCTGGAGCTTGGGAGCCAAGCCACCCTGAAACCTCCCTTAGGTGGGCTTTGTTCAAAGAGAAAAGGAACTTTTCTTAAGATGACTGAAGATGGTAAATAAATAGCCCTGGTTAGGTTCACTTCCAGTCTTTCTTCACTGGGCTGTCCTTGACCCTCTTCAGTGATCCTGAGATGCCTGTGCAGGAGTTGGAGCCAACCAGTGAAGGTCTTGTTTTTCAGAGACTTCAACCTTTGGAGTGCAAGGAAAATAAACCCTATGTCTGATATCCTTTATCCCACGGGGACCCAGCTCGTTCTCACATCCCCCTTCCCCTGTACCCACAGCCCTGTGGCAGAGCAGACCCTCACCCACGTGGGCACAGGGGAGGGGGCAGCAGGGCCTGGCCATGGGGAGGGACCGTGCCCGCAGCAGGCACGGGGCCTTGCCCACCCGGGCGTTTCCCCTCCCCAGGTCCCCGGGAAGATGGATGAGAACGATTTCGTAGCAGTGACCAGCACCAATGCTGCCAAGATCTTCAACTGCTACCCCAGGAAGGGGCGCGTGGCCGTGGGCTCCGACGCAGACCTGGTGCTGTGGAACCCCAAGGCTACGAAAATCATCTCAGCCAAAACCCACAATTTGGTAAAATATATTTTAAATCATTTTCTGGGGCTGGTTTTAGAGTCAGAAGGGATCTGGAAGGCAATGCATGTCCTTAGTTGGATCAGATCATTCAGCAGGGGAGGAGTTGTTTTGTCTGTCTGGGTAAATAGTAGGAAAATATTCTTTTATTGCTGTAAAGGGTGGGATTGGTACTTAGTGACCATTTCAAGACAGCTGGCATCTGGTAAAGAAATCTTAAGGTCAGTGTATTTGCTGTGGACTAGAAAAATGTAGGTGCTGAACTGAAGTATTGAGCTATTGCTAAACTGCAATGTGTGTTAGTTACAGTTTAATATGTATTAACCTATTGCTATAGTTAATATATACTGGTATTAATATAATACAAAATTTAAATATTCCATAAAGATATCTAAATAATATAATAATATAAATATAATTTAATTAAAGTATTAAACAATTGCTGTAGTTTAATATGATTGGTTTTTAGGTTTATTTTCTTGGTTCCAGTTTGCTTCCCTTTGGAATCATATTTGAAATATGAGGGTTTGTTAGTTCTGACTGATGCACGAGGAGCAGTGTACAAAACTGGCCTCCTCTTAAATCCTGCAGACACTGAATATCAGGGTTTGCTTTTACTAGAATGTGGAGTACAACATATTTGAAGGCACCGAGTGCCACGGGGTCCCAGCCGTGGTCATAAGTCAGGGAAGAGTTGTCCTTGAAGATGGAAATCTGAGCGTCACCCAGGGCTCAGGTCGCTTCATCCCTAGGAAGACATTCCCTGACTTCGTTTACAAAAGGATAAAGGCAAGAAACCGGGTAAGGAGAGTTTTATTTGCCATAATCCCATGTTTTGATCACAATTTCTCTGCTGTAGTGTATTGGGGCGGCTGTGATGGCAAACCTGCAACAGCAGCAGGAATATTATCAGTGCTATTTCTTTCTGTGTGTTGTCGTGTAAGTGCCTGGCTCCTCAGTCAAGAATTCTTAGTATTAGAGCTAATAATGGCAGTTTTCTTAGCCTATTATAATGTTACAAAACAAAAATGCAACTTCTAGCTAAGGGTTTTTTGGTTTGTACTGAGGTAGAGGAGTTTCTGTTGCTGTATTCCCAGTGTCTGCTCTGCAGCCATTGGAGGGTAAGGGATGTACATCCCCTAGGTACTGGAAATACAGTAAGATAAATCCTCCTGTGTGCTGGCACAGCTCTTAAGAGAGACACAAAGACATGCAAATAATGTAAAGAGCTTCTTAACACCTCTGTCCTCCTTCCCTTTTCCGTGTGCTATTGCAGACAGTGTAATTCTGCATCCTATACAAAGCACAGCAGGAATCAGTAACCCAAATTAGCTGCAGAGGCAGGAGCCCCGACTCTGGTGTGCCTCAGGGTGTCTGGGGTGTCTGGAGGGCAGGATTTGGATGTGCCAGCTCCCTGCAGGGTGGGAATGGGAGCCAGAGAAGCTGTAGATGTCCAATCCCCGGAGGTGTCCGAGGCCAGGTTGAAAGTCCTTTTAAGACCATCAATTCCAATCACTCCCAGCCCTGTGCAGGCCAGCACTGCCCCATGTCCCCAGGCTCCCGCTGGGGATGGGGGCTCCAGCCCTGCCTGGCAGCTGTGCCAGGGCTGGGCAGCCCTTTCCACGGAGAAATGTCCCCGTGCCCAGCCCGGACGTCCCCGGCACAGCTGGAGGCCGCTGCCCCTGGGCTGACGCCCGTCCCCGGCCGTGGCTGACCCTGTCTCCTGTGCAGCTGGCCGAGGTGCACGGCGTGCCCCGCGGGATGTACGACGGGCCGGTGCACGAGCTGCCGGCCAGCGTCAAGGCCGCGGCGCCCGGCGCCGGCAAAGCCGCGGCCGCGCCCGTGCGCAACCTGCACCAGTCCGGCTTCAGCCTGTCCGGTACGTGGGGCCGGGGCCGGGAGGGCAGGGGGGCCTCAGCAATGGGAACTCCAGTTCTGCCCAGCAGCAACGCAGCCGGACCTGCGGCTGCAGCCACGGGGCCAGGCACAGCACAGACAGCTCTAGAATGTTCTGCAGTATTTATGTCAGCGCACAAAGCCTGCTGAAAGCTCTGCTCCCAGAGCCAGAGCAGTGATTCAGCATCATTCACCCCGCAGAAACCTGCCCAGCAGCTGTCGGGAAAGCCAATGCTCTGCCCTAAAATTATTTCCATAATGGTTTTTTAGCTGGTTGGGTCACGTGGGTCCCATATTGCTTGATAAATGTTACCAGTCCCCGTGTTTTATTATATACAGAATTTATAGGAAAGCCATTTAGAAATCTTCCAGAAAGAAACAATGAAAAATTAATATATTCAGGCAAATACAGACATTCCAAACTGTGCCATGCTTGTAGAGTGTCCAAAGTGACATACAATGAAATTATTAGCATTTTCTGAGGAAAAGTTTTATGGTTGTGGCATGTAAAGCAGTGGCACTGCCCCGCTCTCCGCAGGGTCACAGGCAGATGACCACATTGCCCGGCGCACGGCGCAGAAGATCATGGCCCCGCCGGGCGGGAGGTCCAACATCACCTCGCTGTCCTGACGCCGTCCCCGCGCCGGTCCCCCCTGGAATTCCGGGATGGGGCCGGTGGGCCGCTCTCGAGCTCGCCAGCTGTGCCAGCCCTTCCCTCAAGGTAGAACGTAGAGTGATCCCCAGGCAGCGCTCCCAGCTGGGTTCTCTGCCAGTGTTCCTTCGCTAGCTGCTAGGAAAGCCCTTCCCTGTGCATGCGGCACCGCCACGTCCCCAGGGCTGCGGGGCGGCCGGGCCCCGCGGGCCAGCGCCGACACGGGGCACATCCAGGCTGGATCACGCTCTTTTCCAGCAGCACCCGCTGCCCGCTCCCATCAAAGGACTTCCAACAGCCGAGCACTTCGCTGGTGTCCAGCCAGAGCCCTCCGCCCTGGCCGTGCTCCCAGGGCACCCCCAGACCGTGTGTCCCTCGCTGGTCACAGCTCAGGAGCGCAGCCCCGTGTCCTGGGGCAGAGTGGTGCTGGCCCTCCAGGACCCGGCCATGCCGTGGGCTGGTGTCCTTCTGCCAGCCTTGTTTTTTAAAGATCATTTATACGCTTTTTCAAGAACTGAGTGTGAGTCCAACAGCCAATACCAGGGCTCCTACGGAGGCCAGGTGCATGCAACACACTTTTTAATGAAGATTATTCTAGCCCAGTTATTATATTTAAAGGTGTGTACACAGAGTGTGCCTCTGGCCATAGTGCCATGCATGTACCTCCAGGAATGGCTTTCCGTTCCTGTCCGCTCCTTGCTTGGAATAAACTTGGTTGGAAACCGCGAAATGGTGGAAGTGGTTGATGCACCCGAGTCCATTTTGTCGTTTTCTTCCTCTGAGTTTTTCTGGGTGAGGCTTGCACAGTGCCATCCTGACTGGCAGGTTACTGTGCTCGCCTGGGAGGGGGGAGAGGCTCGTGCTGGCAGTGTGGGCAGTGCCCCCTTCTCCTCAGCCTGCTGGGACGTCGTGGCACGTCCATGGGACACTGAACTCCCTCGGGCAGCGCCAGGCTTAGGTCTCCAGCTCTGTCTGAGCCAGGCACGAGAACGGGAGCAGGGGTCGTGGCGGCACAAGCAGGGATCTGACTTGTGAGTGGGGGCTGGAACCACACGTGGCAGCTCCAGATACATGAATCCATGAATTAGGAATGAACCCACAAACGTATACCAGGGAGGGATTTAATTTTTTGCTGGGGATTTTTTTGTCTTTTTTGAATATCTGATATGACCTACATTTCACAGCTTAATGCTGCAGTAATTTCTGTGTTAAGCACATGGGAATGTATATGTTTGGATATTCTATATTTAATTTTAAATTTAATTTAATTAATTTCATTTGTTGATTTTCTGATTTTCCCTGAAATTGCACCAAGTCCATTAACATCTAGTGGAAGGTGTCGCTACCATAGCAGGCGGTGGAATGAGCTGAGCTTTAAGGTCCCTTCCAACCCAAGCTATTTACGATTCTATGATCTCTTTTCATCCTGAATAGAGCTTAAATGACAGCAGTGGGAAATCCATAAGGAATGGGAAAGGTAGACGTAACAGTCTGATGGCAGTGACCTCCCCATCACCCTAACATCCACGGGGTGACAGGGATATCCCAGCACCCCCAGCCTGTAAACACTTAGCAAAGGAAGTTCTGAGGTCCCTGTGCTGAAATGTCCTTTTCCCACAGCTGGCCTGGTTCGTGCCAGGCCCCCTGGGCCAGTGGGGACCCAGCAGAGTCCCTGTTCCCTCTCCCACACCACCGAGTTTAGGTCCCTCCACCTCTGTGCCAGCCCAAGGCTCCAGCCCTGCCAGCCGTGCCCTGGGGCAGGGAGGGTTGGCATTTATTCCCTCTGTCAGGGAGCTGTCACAGCTGCCCAGCCTCCTCCCAGAGCAGGGATCGGAGCCGCAGCATCCCTGCAGCTCTCCCGCTGCCGGGAGAGGCTGAGCCAGTCCCACAGCTGCCTGCTAATGGAGCAGAGCCTGCAGGAACCCCCCCGTGGCACCCACACGGCGTCTGGCCCTAATTCCCTTGGACAGCTTTCCTGCAGGCTCTGGGTCAGGGACACCCGCAGACGCTCCGTGCCCTTGACGACGGCACAGCCCCGGCTCAGCGGCACCGCGAGCACCAGGGACGAGCCCCAAGTCCCCAGCTC